ACTCTGTGAAGATTACCTCTAAGATATGAATGCTGAGTAAAGAATTTGTCACATTCTTTACATTTGTAGGGTTTTCTCTCCAGTATGACTTTTTTGATGTTTGCTAAGAGATGAGCACTCAGGAAAAGATTTGTCACATTCCTTATATCAGTAAGGTTTCTCTGCAATATAAACATTCTGATGATGTCTTCTAAGATGTGAGTTATAAGTAAAGGATTTGTCACATTCCCTACATTTGTAAAGTTTCTCTCCAGTATGAATTTTCTGATGTCTTTAAGAGTTGAATTTATGCCGGGCAGTGGTGACGCAGGCCTTTAATCCCAGCACTTGGGAGGCAGAGGCAGGCAGATTTCTGAGTTTGAGGCCAGCCTGGTCTACAGAGTGAGTTCCAGGACAGCCAGGGCTACACAGAGAAACTCTGTCTCAAAAAACCATAATAATAATAATAATAATAATAATAATAATAATAATAAAAGAGTTTAATTCACAGTAAAGGATTTGTTGCATACCCATACCTCACATTTATATGGCTTCTCACCAGTATGGACTTTCTCATGCCTCTTAAGATGTGATAATTCAAGAAATGACTTACCAGATTCTTTGCATTCATACAAGTTTTCTAGAGAATGGCTTTTCTGATGCCTTCTATATGATGCATAGTGGGTATAGGCTATGTCACATTCCTTGCATTTGTAAGGCTTCTCTCCAGTATGCAACAATCCAAACAGAAACAACATGGAAAACAAAAGGATAGGCAGGAAATAAAAAACATGAACAAAAAAATCTAGCCACTCTGGATATCAATATGGAGAATTCTTAATCAAATCAGCATATCCTCAAGTTAAATAAATCTAGCACATGACACAGCTGTTCCATTCCTTAGCACATGCTCAAAGGATTCAACATCCTACTCCACAGATACGTGCTAACACATGTTCATTACTGCTATATCCATAATTGCTACAAAATGGGAAGAAACTAAATGTCCCGTAACTGACAAACATAATGAAAATGAAACGAGGAAATAATATTCAATACATCCTATGGAATATTATTTATTAAGCTATAAAGAAAACTGAAATCATGATTTTTACAGGTAAATGGATGTATGTAGAGATGATCACATTGAGTGGAGTAACCCAGACCCAGAACGGCAGGCACTGCGTGTTCCCTCTCATAGCAAGGTCCTAGCTGCACAGCTTCAAATGATCACAGAGTGGAGTAACCCAGACCCAGAACGGCAGGAACTGCGTGTTCCCTCTCATAGCAAGGTCTTAGCTGCAAAGCTTCAGGTGTGAGTTCACAACCTGGAGTAAGTGCAGTAACCAGAAAAGTAAAAACAGACCATGGTGGAACGCTAGAGAATCAGAGAGAAAAATAACAACTGATCTAGAGGAGGACATGGAAAAACAAAAGATGAGATTTAATTGTGTATAAGGGGTACATAAAACACAGGACAGTAAAATAAGGACAGTAAAATAACAGTAAAGATGTTTGAAAGAGTTATAATGATTAATATTATTCATCCAGGACAAAGGGCCTATCATACACACACACACAGACACACACACACACACACTTAAAGTGTAAATGAAAACTTTGCACTAGGATGATAAAACTCTCCACAGGAGCATACAACCACAACCTTACTAAATTAGCACAATGCCTAACTACATTCTAAATGCTTCTCCTAATTCCCACAGATACACATTGTATCCACTCTCATCAAGAATAGTTCTTGTAGCAATCATGGAGATTATTGCAGAAAATGACTATGAGTCAAAATGCAGAGTTGTGACGGTAAATCTAAATGACATATAAGCAACACAACTCCTGCACTAAGGCTCAGTGATCACTGAGAAGAGGGTGGGGGGTATGGATATTGTTCAGGAAACAAACCAGGAGAACAGGAGTCTGCTGTGACATTGTGTCAGAAACGTCAGAAAGACTACATGCAAGAAATCATACAAACATGGCTACCAAAACAGGAGCTGAACAAGGGCAACAGCAAGACACATGTGGAAGGAAGAAAACTCACTAGGTCTCAACCCTACACAAACATTAAGGAATTCTGGAAGCTGGAGAAACAGTCTTCCTTAAGAAGAGTACACCCTATGGGTTATACAATAGCAAATGTTCATCCCTGAAAACAGACAGAATGAGTTGGTTGTAATTTTATGTTTAGGAATCCACACAAACATACAACAGTAATAAAATAAAAACTTCTTAAAAAATAGTAAATGTCCATGTAAAGTCAAGGTTTTTGATCATCTAAATAAAAAAAAAAACTGGACAAGAATGGCTTTATATAATTTTCCATCACTTTTACTCATATAAATAAAACAATAGGATGCTAAAGAGATGATTCAATGGTTCTGTGCAACTGTTATTCTTTTAGAGATGTTTCAACAAAAATGGAACAGAAAATAAAAATTAGCAAAGGGAGAAAGACAGAGAGAAAAATAAACAAACAAACAAACACAACAAAATTTAAAATCCATGAATGAAGTAACCAAGCTTATGAAAGGTCAGTACAATGAAACCTTTGAATTATGGAAAGAACTGAAGAAGAAACTAAGTAGAAAATGAAAAGATATTTTACACAGACATAACAGGGCATAATATTGGGAAATTTGCAGAATCTCTGGAAGTGGCGTATAGGACTAGTTCAAACTCCATGACACTGTCCTCAATATACTTCACAGATATAGTAAAGAAAAAAAAATATATATGGTCAAAAATCCAGAATCTATTAAAAAAAACTGACAAAATGAACAAATAATAATATAGTCAATAAATAAGTATATTCTGCTCATTTATTTTGCTCAATATCTGCTGGAAGGCACAATGTGCACATATTAAAAAGCTCTGCGGTATAGTTCATAAGATATAAAAGATATATAATATACAGAGATTCTAGTTTTTTCCAGTGTCCACACTCAAGTTCCTACACAATAACAAATACATTTCTTTCAATTAATATTCCCTATACTAAACATGTAAACAGACTACACCATTCAAAAAAGAAAAATGATAGCAGATATTAAAGCATATTTTTTACAAAAGATTTCTTATCTAAAGATAAAAATACTGAGATTTTTTTTAAAATGCCATTAATACAGAGTACAGTAAAGATAGCTAGTGACCATAACTATAGTAGTGACAGAAAAGACAAAAGTTTTAAAATACAAAATAAAGAGTATCAGTAATTGGTAAAATAGTCCTTTAGATAAAAAGTCCTTGATCAAGACGGGTGGATGTCACAAAACACAGAATGCATATATCCGCAGCAAAAAGAAAACAGAGAAATATATAAAACCTAAAAACTGGTATATTGCCTCATGTGCTTTTCAGACATGGCTAATATTTAAGAGTTCTACATATGGATGCCAAGTCACTAAGTATATAACGTGAACGAATGTAAATTCCAAGAGCTTGGTTTTTTTCACCTCCACAAAGAGAACTGATATTCTCCTAGAGTATTCTAATAGGAATGTTTTGGTAATCAGAAAAATCGAAAACAAAACAGGATTGGTTCACTTTATATGAGCTAGACTTTATCCACATGGGCAGACATCCACAGCAGAATTTCAGAGCCAGCTTCCTTACGGAACAGTAGAGAAACTGAGGATGCCCTGCTCAGCTCTTGCCTGTTTCCCAGCCCCCGCAGCCCCGGGAGCCCCGCTGTGGCTCCAGCTGCTGCGCTGATGAGTTCCCAGGATGCCCCGCGCGGCACCCAAGGCTACTGGGAATTTTAGCTTCCCCCGAAGTCCACCACGTCATCCGACCCCAGGTCTGCACCACGCAGATTCCCCATGGTGCAGGCTCGGGAGCTCAGGGGAAAACTGTCGAAGCGAATTCTGGCTTTGGTTCTAGGTAAAACTTCCCTAACCTTGTAAGACTAGCGAGCAGTGAACTACGTGGAGACAGAACCGCTGCAAAACACAAGGCAAGAGGAATTTTTAATGATCCCACACTCCTTGGGGTCGTCCTACACCGAAGGTGGAGTGGCGACCCCGAACCGCCCATTTAGTCGGTTCTTAATCCATTTAAGGGGTAGACTAGAGAAACAGCGACTGGGCACAATATGATTGGCTGAACAGTGTAACTTTTAAACTGACTGGTTTTTAGGGAATGAGGTGGCAGGGGCTTCCTTTGCCCCTGGGTGGCCAACGGTCAGTCGCCTTGTGGAATGTGCCCTGACAAGCAGGTGGGGTTTTCTCCCTTAGTCTGAGGAATGTTGATTAGCCCCTCTCTCTCTTCCCAGCCTAAGCCCACCGGGAATGCTAATTAGCCTCCGTTCCTGAGCTGATCTCCTCACCTTCAGTCATTTAGCATCCCAGCTTCCACCCACGGCTTTCCTATAATTCCTCACACTTCTACACAGTTCCCCTACACATCCCCAAAAGTCGAATATCCTCCCAACATGCTTCCGGATCTCCAAATCTGTTTCCGGGTGAGCACCTACGCCCAAGCAGGGGCTGGTCCCTCCCACTGTCTCAGGCCGCCTTCTACGCAGCTCCAGCTGTCAGGCTGCTCCGGGCACTGCACAGCCTCCCCGACACTCTTGCTGTGAGCCCAGACCACAACTGGACATCTGAGCCCCACCCTAGGTTCTGAACCCTTTAGATAAACGACAGTCCCTCCAAAACTGGAGCAGTGGCTGTCCCTGAATTAGTTGAGTGCCTGTGGATTCTTTCCCCTAACCCGGCCGCCTTGTCTGGCCTTAGAGAGGATGTGCTTAGTCCTACAGTGACTTATGTGAGGTGGTGAACACAGTTGTGGTGGGAATCCCCCTTCTCAGAGGAGAATGGGAGCGGGGAGGGGGAAAGCTGCGAAGGTGAGGGAACTGATATTGGGTTGTAAAGTGAATAATAAGAAGCCTAACATTTTCACTGGACTACCAACCTCTGACCTACATATTTAATACCAAACAATAATAGGCTAAATTCAAAAGCCAGAGTCCCAGCTCCAACACACAAACATTAAGAAGCCAAAACAAAACTCTGAAATTTTTACTTGGGGAGAGATATTTAAAGAACTTGGATTTTGAAAAGAAATAGGTATCTCAAGAAGTCTGTGGTCCCGCCTTTGCTAACAGCCTAGGGGTGAATTCATCCCGCGCTGTATTACTTTCCCCACTAGATGGCGGTCTTGTCATTTAAGTCTTCTGTGACTCATACACAGGTGCTTCGAGAGAAAACAGAAAATGTTCCTTTTTCCTTCTTTTTAAAAAATGGAGTGGTGGATGCAGACTCTTGGCTGCCCCAAATGCAGAAAATAAGTAAGGTATGTGGTCCCGGGCCTAAAAAAGTCAGTTACACCATCCCATCTGTAGCTCTGGGAACACTGAGAAAGAGATGGTTAGAAAATAAGAGAAAGAGGGGGAAGGGTTAAGCCACACCATTCTCTAGACTCCATACAACTAGTGTAAACAGTAACCAACAGAAACTCTACTTACCTGCACTGGCCTCATAAGACCACAGTCAGTCTAGGAAAGGGAACGGCTCACTTTATCTCTCAGACGTTGGCTGTGGATAGTTTGTAGAAGAATCACTGCTTTAGTTGTTACCCTGTGCTGAGCACATCAGGCTCCAGCACATAGCTGCAAACCCACAGTCTCACAAATGGCTCTGGGTCATCTCAGTGGGTCCCAGGCAAAATGAATAGAGATGAACACAGTACAGTGACTGTTGGAATTGTGGGCCAGAGTCGTGGAGAGGTAGGACGTGAGTGTGGGCAGTATTAGATGTGCCCATACAAATGCACACACACATTCTGTGTATATACGTATGAGTATAAAACAGCTAATAATAGAAAGTGTGGGGGGGTGGAAAGGGGAGGGCTCATTCATCCACTCATTGACTGTAGACAGGGTTTTTCTGTGTAATCCTGTGTTTAAAGGTATGTGCTATCTACCATGCCCAACTCAAATTTCTTTGAAATGACCACATGAGTGTGTAATTTTTGTTTTTTTGTCTGTGCCAGTATCTGGTAGGATTTTGGTTTGTTTGATAACTAACTTACTGTGCTTGTCCATGAGGGAGACATTCCACCATGCCAGGATCATTATCTGGTTTAATGTCAGGGTATAGTTAAGGATTAGGAAGTCTTGTTTTTTGGGTTAAGTAGCTCTGCGGTTAGTTCTTTGCAGTTCTGACAGAATCCTGTCGATCTAAGTGTGAGGTTAATTTCAGGGTTGCATTTTATAATTTCTGAAGTCGCATGGCTACTAGTAGTCTTGTTTATATTATCTACTTCATGTTGTTTACATCTGGTGTGTTTATATGCACCTGGAACCTCATCTATTTCAAGTCATTTTGTGCAATAGAAGTATTTAATGTGAGTAGAAATTAAGATCCATTTGTTAACTCATATCAATCAGGTAGGTTGTACCTTTACCTTGGGGAACTGTCAGGACATTAAAATCTGGGTAGTGGTGGTACAAGCCTTTAATCTCAAGGACTCAGGAGACAAGAGGCAGTCAGATTTCTGTGAGTTCCAGGTCAGCCAAGATTACACCCTGCATCTACAAACACACATACCAACAAACAAAGACATGAGAAAAAGTTATATTTCATTGGGAAAGGTCATATAAGCCTTCAAACCTAGAACTTAAGAGGCAAAAACAGGGGAAGTCTGTGTTCAAGGCCAGCTTGGTCTACATACAGAATCTAGGCCAGCTAGCAATACACAGACAGACCCTATCTCAAAATAAAGCAAACTCCTCTCAGAGAATTAGCTTGTATGCTACTAGAATAAGCATACAAAGCTCCAAAGGAAGAATCTCACCAACAGTCCTCCCCGGCTAGAATGCCCATGAACCACACCGACGATCATCTTGTCAGGAGGACTCTAAAGATTCCGTAGTGGCCAGCTCACCTTGGTAAAAACCAACAGCTCTCTAATTAGACTTAAGACACTTGTTTTTTTTTTTTTTTTTTTTTGGTTTTTTGAGACAGGGTTTCTCTGTGTAGCCCTGGCTGTCCTGGAACTCACTCTGTAGACCAGGCTGGCCTCGAACTCAGAAATCCACCTGCCTCTGCCTCCCAAGTGCTGGGATTAAAGGCGTGCGCCACCACCGCCCGGCGACTTAAGACACTTGTAACAACAGGGAAACCATAACCGGTACTGGAAACCTAGCTAACTTCTCACTGTTGGTGAAGTTATGAATCTTGGAGGAGAACCAACCACCACCAATTTACTAATTCATATTAGCTCCTAATAAAATCCAAATATTTTTTCTCGTACCCACAAATAAACATTGTCTTCTTCCCTCAGCAAGGAAACTTCTTTCAGCAGAGAGACCACTACGACAAATCTACAACTGATCAAAATGTAGAGTTGTAAAGTCCACACTTAGTGGATACATCTACAAAACACTCATGCACTTAAGGCTCAAAAGGAATACTTTTGACGATGGTCTATTAATATTCAAGAGGCAGAGGATTAAGGAGTTTGCTATGAGATTGTTTCTCCTAGTAATGATGGGAGCTTATCCATAAAATCTCAAAATCATGCCTACCCAAACAGGAACTGAACAAACACAACAACAATGGACATGCCAAAGTGGACGGGGAAAAGCCCACAAGGCCTCAGTTCATACAGTGTGTACTACAGGCAACTGCACAATGCTGGGAGCAGGAGTCTCCTTCAGGGATGAGCATACCAACTAGATAGCCAAAACCAAATGGGCCAGCATTGGAAACACATACACAAGTAACATGATATAGACAGACAAGGTTAGATTTAGGAATATATATGTATATCAATTATACATAAATTATACATACATACACACATACATTTTATACATAAAATAGCAATGAAATGACAAGCCGTGAACTTAAAAGGGAGAAGGGAAGCATTCATGTGAGAATTTGGCAGTAGGAAAAGGAAATGAAACATGTTGTGGTTACACTATTATTTTAAAATTTTACAGTAGAAAAAAAAAGGAGAACAAAAATAAAAAAAAATACAAGAAACCCAAACAAAACCAAAAAAGTTTGAAAAATTATCAGTGAAATTCAGACAAGGATTCCTTTAAGCTAACACGCTGCCCTAACTAGTGTCCTAGTGTCCATCATCAGGACTAGTAACGCTAACTACTCTTGGCATAAACATGGGAGGAAGCCAAATACTGCTGGGGGAGTGGTGAGAACTAGAGAATCAACTTTGAAAATCAGTGTACATATTCTGTGTGTGTGTGTGTGTGTG